CACACACACACACACACACACACACACACACACACACACACAGAGAAAGACATTATTGTAACACCTGAACAGCACGGTGGGCGTGATTCTTAAGGATGGTGTAATTTCTTATTATTTAGATGAACTGTTTCTGATTTTCTGCTCACTTTACTTTTCTTGCCGATGATCATGTGTTGCCAGGTAGTTGGTGGGACTGAGAGTGGGCGTGTAAAGGCTGTAACCTCGTTTTTGCTCTTGTAACATTAAGAACTCACAGGCCAGTGAGGCTGTTCAAAGTACAACTGAGATAAAACTCTTGGCTCCGTGTCATTGTTGCGTTTCTGATCACAAGACAATGACCAGCAGAACTGAAACTGAAGGGGAACTGTTTTGCTGGGGAGTGTCAAATGAAAACTAGTTTTGTCTTTTGTAGATCTCTGTGCAGCCTGAAGATGAAGTGCCCGCGTTGTAGCCATGATATTGCGGAGAAAGGAGCCAAGTTTTGCAGCCAATGTGGCTTCAGACTTTCTGCCCCACCTGCAAACACTCAGGGTAAGTAGATGAGCTCAAATATTCTGTATAATGTTGTAAATTTACTTTCAGAGTTTGAACAAATTTGTTGCATGACATCTGTTTACTGCTTTATATGACCATCAAGGATAGACTCAAAAATATCAGAATGCGTGCAGTCAAATCATATTTCCCAAAACAAATGACAAAATCTGCATTCAAACAGGAGTATCTGTTACAAAATTCACATTATACCAAATATTTAATTAATTTTCCATAAAGTTAGAAGACAAATAGCACTTGGTTTGAATTAAACCACATTTTGACACACTTTGTCGAGGTTACAGTCAAGGCCAGTGTTGTCTGCGGCTGTAAGTCCAAAGAAAACACGTAGTTTAAAGCAAAGTTAGTTCTTACTCAAGCTCAGCTCAGGTGTGTCTTAGCCAAAGTAATTAAACAGTAAAAATGAACAGATGGATCCACAGTCACACTTTTTTTTGTCTCGATTGTATTTTGTGATGTGGAGATTATCAAATTGATTTAAAAAAGAAGCAGGATATTTAAATGAATTACATTAATCCTATTATTACTTGTTTTCTGTAGGGAAATATTTCAAATGTCTGAATGGTTTTTATTTGTATCTACTGTTTGATTTAATTTTATTTTTTAATTGTGTGTTTTTAATTCAGATGCAGACAATCAGCCTAAAGCTTTGGTAGCAGAGTCAGAAAGCAAAACCGATGAATCGAAGCTTCAGAAAAATGTCCAACTTTCGGAGAACGAGACATGTAAATCTCCCAAACGACCAAATGATGAACAACCCAACCCAAAGAAAAAGGTAAGCGGGACAACACTCTTTTGCCCTGCTTGTTGTTAATGTCACGTGAGTTTATGTGTACGCACCAACCAACTGTATTTACTCTGGGTAAACTGGGACTTGATGCCATAAACTCAGTGTGCTGTGAAACTGGTATGTTGACACAGTAGAGGCGTAGCTGTATTATAGCTTTTTTATGCCATTGCTGCAGTGTAATGTTTTACAGATTTGTTTTATGTTTTATGATTTACAGAACAAATACGCACAGAAAATATTTTTTAGATTTTGTAAGTAAAAATTTCTTGCAAATGTCCTCAGCAGACGAATGAAGGTGAAAGAAATTTGATCACAAACATATCAAATAAATCCAGGAACCCCAGTAATTTTGACATTCCTACATTGTGGTACTTTTAGAGACTTTTGTCTCCAAAACAGTTTAATGTTGTCTGAAACACAGTTTAGTCCCAAAATGATCACAAAGTAAAGTCATCACCTCTCTAATAAATAATCTGAAGCAGGTTTAAACCTGTTGTAGTTCAGCATTGGCAACTAACTACTAAAAATTAGTAGTTAGTTGCCAACTACTAACAAATTTAGTAGTTAGACTTTTTTGCATGGGCACATGGGTGACCGAGGTGTTTTTAGTGGGGCACGTACAAGGAAAGAAAAGTATTCTGGATTTGAATTTTCAAGATGGCCACCAATGCTAATTTCAAATGACTATAGCTCGTCAGTACATGTCAGCACATTGGGATAACCCTTTCTGATTAAACCACACTTTGCCTTATTTATATTATTTGCATTATTTTTTGCAAAAGTTAGATCATGTTAAAGGCAAAGCAGTTTGTCCACGATCAAGAAACAGAAACAGAAATTGAACAAAGCAGTTACAGAATCTCATCTTTTTCCTCAGTGCTTCTTAAAAATCTTAACATCACAGATCCACAAATGTGCAGCCCTAAGGCAGGGGCGGAGCTAGACGTTTTTGCATGGGCACATGGGTGACCGAGGTGTTTTTAGTGGGGCACGTACAAGGAAAGAAAAGTACTCTGGATTTGAATTTTCAAGATGGCCACCAATGCTAATTTCAAATGACTATACCTCGGCTACTTTTACACATATTGAGATGAAATTTGGTGTGGTGGGAGCTGAGATCACCAACATAATATTACAATCAAATTGTAAATTTAAAATGGCGGCCACATGGCAGTACTCATCAATGTTTATCAAAGAACTTGTGTAGTTGCTCCATTCTATTGCTATGTTATAGACTTTCCTGTAGATGTTTTCCCAATATATATGAACTGGTTTTTAAAGCCAGAATTATTTCACACAATTGTTGTTTTGTATTAACTCAGTGTTTTATAATTTTTTTCCTCTCACACACTTCACATTGAGCCTACTTACTATTTTTTAATCCATCTGCCCATCTTTAAAATGTCACATGCCTCCCCGTCTTCCACTCTCCCTAACTTCAAACAGTATGTTGATTGCCACACAAGAGACAACAAAACTCTGGCTCTGCTGTTTGCCAACACCAAGGAGGTTTAAGGCTGGTTTATACTTCTTGTCGCACGTCTTTTACCCCCTGCTGAGTGACAAAAAGTTGCGCAACTTCCGTCTGCACTCCCGCTGCGATCCCCCGGTGACAGGTGACAGGTCCCAATAAGGAGCGTGAGCACACAGCTGGTCGCGTCTTTTTTTTTCTGTCCACCGTAAAAAAAACAAAAACAAACAAAAAAAAAAAACCCCAGCTCTACTACACTCTTACTTAATACTGATTTTGAGTGGGAAAAAAACATTATCCAGCCATCATTACTGTAGTTTAAATACTTTATATGAGCTGAGGGAGGGCAGAGGGAGAATTTATGATAATTTATGGCCACCGCGTCTGCAGCTCGTTTATATTCGGTCAGGTAAAAGACGCTCTGAAATTGCACAATCAACAAACCGCAGTCGCATGTCTTATTGACCCTTTGCACATGATGTCACGCACCTCAGAAGACCGCCCCTTTTTTCCATGTTGGATGGCAGAAACAGACATGCGTCCATAAGCTACTATTGAGCTAGAGGAGAATCAGGCAGTTGGTACCCTAATATCGTTCTTTCCCCCCTGTTGATTTAGCTGTAAAAATGGTCTTCAGCTGCTGCGCATTCGGCTGCACAAACAGACAAGTAAACAGACCAAACTTGTCCTTTTATCGTAGTCTTAAGCTGCTGCGCAGTCGGCCGGCTCTGGAGACTGTCAGATGGACATTAAATTACACCTTAAAAAGAAATGAACCAGACACAGACATAAGTATTCAGTTTAAAACAGTTTTCTCTTTGCAAAGAATGAGAAGTTTCTGAGGACGCTTAAGACAGGTCTCAGCAGAAAGTTCTGACCTTGGCCGGGGAAAGCTGGACAGTTTATTGCAAACAGAGCACAGAGAAAACATCTTGACCAATCACAGGGTTGCTTCTTATCAATTAGTGCAGCTCAAAGCTGCAGAGATGAAAATTATGGCAGCTTACTACAGGCCTGTTCTCAGCCAAGAACAGACGAAGCTTCATTCTTGATCAAGAAAGACATAGGCTGGTTTGTTTTCTTATGTTATCTTTCTTTATTCTTCTCAACCTCTCCTGTATTGAGCTGCAGCAATGTGCAAATTTCCCCACGGTGGGATTAATAAAGTCTTATCTCGTCTCGTCTCGTCTTATGCAATTCCCACCCTACTTGTCAATTCTTTAAAGGTTAGCACCTGGGGTGGCTAATCAGGTGCCAGGAGTGGATTGGAATTTTGTTTAGAACTGACTTGTTAAATAGAAAACACAAGTCCGAATAGAAACTCCTGCTTGTCAGTAACATGAAATTTGCTCGAGTTTGCAGTGACGTAAATTTGTCATGAACCTGACATGTCTGGGTAGGAAATCAAAAAAAGCTACAACATTTTTGTAAAATCATTGAGCACTAGGTCTTTTATTCCAGAGGTCTGAAGTGTTTATCTGTAACTTTATTATCTGATCACGTTAGTGCGCTTTGCCAAAAATATTTGTTTTTCTTGTCTTTAAAGAAAAAAAAGAGGAAGAAAAACAAAAAGAAAAAAGAAGGCCACAAATCGTCAGATCAAGATCAAAGCCAGTCTGACCAGTCTCTTGTCTCTTTGGAAGACAAGGGGAAGAGGACAAATGCCGATGGAGACCACACTGACAGTGAAAGTTCTGATGACATCATGGAAGACGCACCAGACTCACTCCAGGATGATTTCCACTCACTTGAATCACAACATAGTTCACTGACTGACACAATGGCCTCCTCTGAAAACACTCAGGTCACACAGGGTAACAAAACTGCATCCACAGATGATGCCACAGCATCAGGGCGGTCTGAGGAAACCACAGTTAATGCTAAAGAGGGAGAGAGTGATGCACAGGGGTCAGATCAGGATCAAACACTGAACACAGGAACAGCTGACCCTCCAGCTCAGCCTCCCACCTCAAAGACCAAGAAGACCAAGATGACCTCTCAGTCAGGTTCAGCTGAGCAGACGAAACCGACTGATGTGAAAGAGCAAACGTCTGGCAAAAAAGACCAAAAGAACAAAAAAGAATCTGCTAATACTGCACAGTCTAAACTGAATCAGACTGCTAATTTAGCTCCAAAAGCAAAACAGACTGAAGAAACAAAACAGAATGAAAAAAATCAGGATAATCAGAAACGGAAGGAAAACAAGAACAATCAAAAACAGCAGGAAGTGAAATCTCCAGGTGATCAAAAACAGAAGGAAGTGAAATCTCCAGGTGATCAGAAACAGAAACATCAACAGGACCAGAAACAGAAGAGTTCAACACCAGCAAAGGTAGCACTAGATATTGATCATGAAAATTTATTATTCAGCAATGAATTTTTTAACCTATTTAGGTGATCACTCTTTGAATTTTACATGTTATACTATATACTACAGGCAGACAACTCAGGCTCCAGTGTGGACCCTGTGGAGAACATGGAGGTTGAAGAATCTGGGGACAAGCAGAACAAAACTTCCACTGGTAACAAAGAAAGTGTCGAGGCCAGTGAAGATACTTCAAACTCCCAAACAGTATCACCACCTAAAAGGTACATTTCAGCCTTATAAACACCTGTTTCTTCTTGTGCATAATAATCAAGAAAGCACTCAAATATGAAATAATTTTCCTCGGCAGGCCGACCCAGAACAAGAATATTGCTGCACATAACAGACTCACAATTTACTTCCACGCAGTTCTTTCAAAGGATTTTAAATTTGATCCTGATCAAGATAACATCTTCATCAGAGCCGGGGCCCCTCTTGGTGACTGGAAGGAAAATTTAGCTGAGTTGGCTGTGACAAGGTAACTTTACCTCTATGCAGAACAAATGTTTGTTTAATCTTGAAACACAGCATAATTATACAAATGATGCATATTAAAATATTCTAATGTACAGTCTAACTATTGATCAAAAGCACTTAAAAACTCTGCTAGGAACCTTGCTCTCAGAAAGCAAAATTTAAAGAAATGAGGTGTGGTCTTAGACTTATGCACAGTGCTGTGTGAGCCCCAATTCAGGATATAACAATATCCCCTCCATCAGTAGATGAAGTAATGCTTTTTTTTTGGCTTGTGCATGTACATGCAGAGCTGTTTTTTTGTCTAATTAATTTTGCAACACATACATCAGTATAAGATTATTACATTCTTGTTATTTCTTGTTACAGGGATCTTGGTGAACATGGGTTTCTGGTCGAAGGCGTTTTGACAACATTAAAAAGTGAAGCTGTCTCTACTTCGATACCATACAAATATGTTGTTTATAAGTGCAAAAAGAAGGCATATGAGTATGAGTATATTTACAAACAGGATTCTGCACGTCCTACCAACAGGTGTTTGTTTGTGAAACCCCACCTCATCACTGATGATGGTAAATTAAGCTACTACATCTAACTGTAGAGCAGTTTTTGTCACCTTTATAGCAGTGCATACAGTTAATGTTGTGTTTTACTCGTTGTGTTAAAGGGGACTGGCATCAATATGATGACATCATCTGTGCCGAACCATCAAAAAATGTCATCAAACGCTTGAAGGATACCTTCTGGCCTGAGCAACGTAAAAACCTGATTAAAGGCAGAGAAATAGCAGGATATATAATGTTGGACAACATTTTTGACCTTCTCAAAAGCTGGAGTGATGCCAATCTGAAAAGCTTTCAAATCCAGCTGAATCAGTTCTTTCAGGTCTATGGGAACCCTTTTGTGTTTGAAGAGAAAGAGAAGAAATGGTACTCCTTGCAGTTTGAGGAAGATGATGTAAGTTCAGAGTTGTTCTGAATAAAGTCTAGATACCCCCTATTTTGCCAGCTCTGCTTCAAGCTCTGTGTCTCTGGCTTATATTTCCAGGTGAGGAAGATGCTGAAAGAGTTCATGCTGACAAAACTGATTCCTCAGCTGAGAGATGGCGAAACACACAATCTGTATGTTCAGGACCCATTGAGAGCAGCTGTGATCATGCTTCATGTGTGGAAACAATTTAAGATCAGGCTTGAAAATTCTGAGCTCAGTCGCCTCTGTAAAGAGCTGTGTTTACCCAAACTAGAGAATGATAGTTTTCTTCAGTACTGGATGAAGTTTTCTCAGGATGTCTCAGCGTTCCAAAAGTGAGAACCTGTTTTTTATTTATTCATAGAAATATTTTATATATATATATATA